ATGCTTTTTGTGCAACACTTCCTTCTTGCAGTCATATTCAGTTTTGTACTCTGAGTAGCATTTTTGTGCTTTTTCCCCAACTTGTTGATGCTGAAATGACCCATTTTTCTGCTATGACCATCAGTTTGTGCCCTTCACTTACTGATGATTGCTCAAATCTTCCAACTACAATGTTAATGTAGTTGTCAAGCTCTAAGGAGTTATGATTAATGCATCTAATGAGTTCAATCCTCCAAGCATGACACCGATAACCAGTTCGGACATCAACTAAGTTTTTTTTTTTGACATAATTTTGGCTCTGGATAGAAGTAGTATATGTCTTTAAAGGTTAAGCTTAAGTTTCAATTCATCCTAAATGGGTTAATTAGATTATGACTTCCCATCCATTTGGTCACAGATAAGTCCAATTTTTTATTTTATTTTTATTTATAAAATATAGATAAAATAGTACTTCGTATTTGTTTGTTATTTTTCAGTTTGGTACTTTGATTCATTTTTCTCATATCCATTCTATATCACATATAATAAACTTTTTGTTTTTGAAATTTAATGTACTTGAATTTTGATAAGTTTGGTATTCTATAATTCACGAATGAGCTAAAGTTATTTAACACTACAAGTGCATCTAAAAAGATTAGTGATAGTTTTTTTATGTCAGATGCCCTGATATCCCTCTCGTCATAGGTTTTTCCACTTCATAGAAAATTTCACTTGACAACAATGAGGTGAGATAGTTGATGTCATTTTGTATAAGTCAACAAGTTGATTGAAATGCCATATGGATCTAGCTGATTGCAACATTAAATCGAAACTTACAATGTCAATTTGAAACTATTTGAATTGAATATTACTCATCTTAAAGTGCTCAGAATTTGATTCCATTCTACTGCTTAATCATTAATTTTTATTGCTTATTCCAAATTCTTTGTACTGCATACATGTGATTTATTTTTGTTTTTTCTATATTCTCTAAGGACAAATCGTTTTGACCCTTTTCATTTCCTTTATTGTATGATTGCTCCTATCAAGATGTATATTGCTTCCGCGGAGGGAAAGATTCCATCGGTTTTGGATTACTTAGCAACAGTTATTGAGGTATGTTGACCTTCTATCCATTGCTCTCAGCCCCAGTTACGTGCTCTCAATGTTCTCTTTTTTTCTCATTGTAAGGAAATCGGAAAGCTACTAGATAAGTAGTTTTTTAAACCACATCTAGTACTATTTCTATTTCTAGTTTGGTTAGTGCAAACAAGTCATCTAGTTGAAGTCTTGGTCAAAACTGCTTTGTTCTGCTTTGGAATTTGATAATATAACAATCCATACATGCATGTGTAGCTAACAACTTCTCTTTGTTCCAGTACCTGGTACCTAGAGATTTCTTTTGTATTCCTTCAGGTTCTGATGTCTGCGTTCCTGGGACATACACAAGCTGTATTTTTCATATTCCTTGTTTTCAAGCTGTGTTTAATTCTCAGCTTTTTTCAACTGGACAGGCAGACTGCAAGTTCCTTATATTTGCCCACCACCTACAAATGATTGACTCAATACACCAATATTTGCTTGTAAGAATCTTAGTAATTACCTCAATGAAATATTTTTAGAAACTATGTTCTTACTAGATGGCATACAACGTGTATAGAAAAAGAAAGTTGGTTGCATTCGCATTGATGGCAGTACTCCAGCATCATCTCGACAAGCGTTGGTTACAGATTTTCAGGAAAAAGAATCTATAAAGGCCGCTGTGGTACTTCCAGTTCTTCCCTTCCATTTACGATGTTTTCTGCTTTGTATCCCATCCTATCTGTTTCCCTATGATCATCGTTTATATAACTTGACCTATCGAGCCATAACTGGAGTGTGATCATTATAAACAATTTTGGTTTTTCAGCTATCTATTAAAGCAGGAGGTGTTGGATTGAATTTAACAGCAGCAAGCACAGTCATATTTGCAGAGCTATCTTGGACTCCAGGTGACCTTATTCAAGCAGAAGATCGCACTCATAGAATTGGCCAGGTGATTTAGCATATTGATATATAAGAATCTCTGTTTTATTAAAAAAAGGATCTCTGGTTTTTATCTAAGGATTTGTAACCACTACATAACTTTCGTTCTTGCACCACACTTACTACATCACTCATTCTTTGCACTGTTTTTGTTTATATATGCGTCAGTTATGTGTATGTATATATATGTATACATATAGACATGCATATCTATGTATTTACACACACATGTATATGCATTTCAACACATTGCGCAATAGCGGTATAGACTATAGACTTGTGTAATCCTAAATATGTACACACATATGTATGTATGTATGTATATGAACATCCATTATTTCCATTATTTTAGATGAACAGTTTAAACTGTGAGGAGTATACAACGTTTCTACCTTATCGCAGGTATCATCGGTGAATATATACTATTTGCTGGCCAATGACACTGTTGATGACATAATTTGGTATGTCTGATTTTATTCAGTTACTCTACATTTACAGTGCTCGGTTAAAGTTTTTTTGTTTGTAAATTTTCGTACACATTTACCAAGATACACTTGACTGTAGAACGAGGGTATAAGTTTTACAGCCCTGCTTCTTGTACACACTTATTTGTACACACTTCATACACGTCTGTGAACAGGCTGTTTTTTTGGCTGTTTTTGTCTATTTGTTTTATGAGTGAACAGGCTATTCATAGACAAAAAAATAGTCTCTTCAGAGACGTGTGTATGAAGTGTGTACAAATAAGTGTACAACCAGTTTTTCTAAGTTGTATCTAAAATTGTGAACTCAATTAACTTTTTCCAGGGATGTCGTTCAAAGCAAACTGGAGAATTTGGGACAGGTTTCTTCTCCCTATCCCATTTAGCTTCCCCCTCCCAGCACACTAACACACACACACACACACTTCACGACGTTTTCGTCTGAGCGGGAACACCAGCCCAATCTGCTGCACTTTGCAGCGTTTTAACTTTTAAGTGTAATTCAGTCTGCAGTTTTCGCTGAAACACTGATACCCAAACATAGACTAAGTATATGGCCATGGTTTTGTAGATGCTCGACGGAGAAGAGAAGTCCCTAGAAGTATCAGAACAAGGTAACTCAAATAAAAGTCCCATGAAACAAAAGACGCTCGATTCCTTCATGAAGCGTTGCAACTCTTCACCGTTGGACAATGAGCCTCTCCCTAAATGCTCCAGGAATTGATATCAAGCCTTAATGCTACTTGTATCCAAACATATTAGAATGTAGCTACTGGTCTCAAGCCTTACCAGTTACCGCTACTACATACATATTTTTGTATCACCAATTTTCTGCATTTTTATTATAGTGTAAAGCACTAGTATACCTCTAGATAACCTTGGTAAAAAAATTCAGTGGCACATACCCACGTATTTCCAACACTGGGGCCTGGGCTTTGATTATCATACAACTTTACGGCTTTATTGAAAGAACAAAATGGAAAGTTTTTCAACGCAATGCAAAATAAATGTTAGACTGGCCTGTTTATAATTATTGTATAACAATAAAGCAAATTTCAGTCTATTCATATGGTATGATTAATAAAGCGAAATTAATACACATGTATACCCTATGAACATTAAAAATAAAAGAAGAGACTCGCATCAATTATCAATATCATCAATATTTGGAAATAACATAGAAAAAATCAGAGAAAGGTCTACCTTTATGTGATTTTGCAACCAAACTCTAGAAACAAAAGTCCTCTTAAATACATCCTTCAATTCATTGAATGAAGCAATTGGGTACTTTATCCGTTAGTATTGATATGGTGGTAACTTTCTCCTGAGGTGTTACTGGCACTAGTAGGGAAAAAAGGTCTATTGCTTTATTTCAATGGATTGAGTGGTATATTTATAATTTTCTGATTGGGGGGTGTACTTATCGAATAACTAAAATTTTAGTCATTCTTAGTAAATATAATCCTACCATACTAATAACAAACAATTAAGTGCTCATGAAAACTCTATATCACTTTCATATTATATTTACATTGACATTAATATTAATCATGTTATTAATAATAATACTTGTATTTATATTTACAATCATATTCATAATTGTATCCGGTGGCATAATTAGAAACATATTGATAGGGGTCGGGGTATGAAATTACTTATTTATATTTATATGTATATTTACGTTTACATTTACATTTGCATTTGCACATATATTTGCATTTACATTTGCATTTGCATTTATATTTATATTTACATTTATACCATATTTACACTTACATTTATATTTAATACTCCGTAAATGGCAATTAACATTATGAAGCATAATTAGTTTTTAAGAAATGAACTCAGACTTTTAAACTATTTCTATGGAGCAATTAGAATCACTCCAAGATATGCTTTTGCTGGATGAAGAGCAAAACGTCAGAAACCATTTTTAAAAATAGATACAAAACATAAACAATTAGTACTGGTATATATCTAATCACGTCAATGACACAAAATTTGGAGATACTCAAACCAAGCCATACAAATATTAATTGTTGATATGTAATTTCTGGAATCCAAAAGAAATATGAAGAATCCCACAAAATTAACTGGTTAGACGGAAGACCTCCCATTGTTATTGAAATGTTTGATAAAAAAATTCCAATTCCTCTTTGAGATGAAGGTAGCATTACATGTAGGTGTAATTATAATTCCCTATAAAAAAACACTTACGTGATTGATAGACATTTTTGGCAGGATTTCGCCAAACTTCATAAAGAATTCCTGTCAAAAACATTTTGGTCAGACTATTTGGCATGGAGTCACCAGTCAAACTCGTGAGAAATTTATGCCAATCCCATTATTCTTTTGAAGTAACTATTCACTATTTCAATTCAATCCACAAGCAATATATACTACGTATATACCAGTACTCCGTATATGATTAAAATAAACACTGTAAACATTTAATTCTGTTGAAATATTTACCAATGGAAAAAGAAAGAAAAGAATTGAACTGAACAAATAATGGTCAATTCCAAGCCTAATTAATTGTCAAGTTGATGGAGGAACATTATCATCAGTGTTTATGGATTTGCGGAAGAGAAACTCCAGGTTTTGAGCATTCCAGGACAACTCAATGGAGTCTCCTTCTTTCAAAAGCCTCCGTCTCACAAAATTTTCAGACCAGTTGTTAGTGAGCACATAGCTTTTGCTTTTCCACCGCAATAGGGTCAGCTCGTATTTCTCGTTGCGGTCCATGTCCGTCACCTTCACTCTCAGCCCCATCCCGCTATGGCATGCCCTCTTCTTCTCCTCATCCAGAGAAGGCAACACATAGCTATCCATGATCTCTGCCTTAGGCAGCAAAAGCCGCGACGACGAGTTCACGTCGCTCGCGCTCAGCATCTTCTTCACCCACAGCTCATCCCCACCTCCTTCTCCGAGACTCGTTCTCGGAGAAGAGCTCTGGTGCACCTTTCCATCTCCGCCTTCTCTTCTCGTTGATGCCTTAGTTCTTGACCGCTTTGATTCGGACGTCGCCTCCGAGCATGAAGACGACGTCTTTCTTTTCCAAGTGGTTGGAGCACTGGTACCGGAACCTGGCAGTGACAACCCAAGTGTCAGGGTTCCATCTTCATCATCCGGGAGGAGGCTGGCGAGACGATCGATAGGCTTGGTGGGAGAGGGCCGGGGTGCGTGCAGAGAAAGGCAGAGTTCGGTGGAAACGCTCTCGACTGGGACTGCCTCCGCCGCCACCCCCGCGGCTGCAATGGTGATATCATCTCCGACTGCTCCTTTTTCCTTCTCATCGGAGATGGCAAAGAAGTTGAAGTAGATTAGCATGATGGTTTATTTCTGATTTTTTTGCCGCAGCTAGAAGTATAGGTATGCGGGTAAATAGTTGATCGATGATTTGAAGTGTAGCATATATACCCACCGGTGGCTTAGTGGCTGACCAAAGTTAGGAAACTTAATTAATTTTAACTTGAGAGTTACGTTTTTATTTTCGGGTTTAGTTTGTACTCTGAGCTCGAGTGGGAGTATGATTTAATGTTTCCAAATTTGATCTCATGCCTACACACGGACAGACGGAATCACTTACGTGCGGAGTAATTTAATTACTAGTAGCAATTATCTTAAATAGGACCGAATGGAAACATAATTGCACAACTATAATTAAAACCCAATTCTTTTACGATCAGGACTAAACATTAATAGAACTTTAATATTTCTAATCTAATTAATTAATTGCCTCCGAATTCCTTTGGACAACCGGGCAGTTCGTTGGTGGCGGGCAACACGGTGGTGCGTGGCTAGGCAGTCTGGCGGCGAAGGTTGGCGGCGGAGCTCTGGCGAGTCTTCCGACATGAAATTGGCAGAAAAATTAATATGGAAATTTTGAGGGTTTGAATTTGATTGCATGATTATTTATTTAATTTGTATTTGAATAATTTAATTGATATCTTTTGTAATCTGGAATGACCACTAAGATTTTAATTGCACATACAATAATTTAAGAGAGGTCTAAATTATCATAGAACATTTTCACACACACCTAATCATTCACTAAGAAGATTAGTGAGCTGTACGCTCGCTCGTTTTGACAATAGTTTAGAAACTTGTGGCATGAAAGATCAACCTGTTTCTCTAAATTATTGTACTCTACGCCACGAGAGTGTTAAGAACTTAGTATTGACATGCATTGTTCAATTAAATAATTTTCATGTGATTAAATTTCATTAGCTCCGAAAAGAATAGGCTAATCTAGAGAGACAAGCGAAAAGTCCATAAAGTTTTCTAAAAGAGCAATCCCTGCTTCCCTTTTGTTATTAATTAGAGAGATCCCTATATTTTAGCTTTTTATTTGCATCATTAATTTTCCATAAATCAAGTATTGCACATCACATTTATTTTATTTATTTTAATCGATGAGTTTATTTAATTTCTTAATTCCCCTTTTCCGTCCTTGTAGAGACGATACTCGTACTTATACCCTATACTATTATACTATTTTAAGTGCAAGAAAACTCAAATCAGACATGCTGGAGAAATACCATTGGTGGTCAAAATAAGCATACATAGGGTGAATGCCCTTCTTTGATCTTCTTCCACCCATTAGAATCTCAATCGTTGCTCCTCCCTTACATGCAGATTTCCTCATAGAGATTGGTGAAGCAGCCATCCTGGCCGTTTGGTTGAGGATTTCTTGATCTTGTGGTGGGTCGGGAATTTGTGGTTGGGGCTCAATGGCGGCATGTTCTCATGGGATAGGCTCTTGATTGGCATAATGAGTTGGAATTGCCCCGATAAGATAATAGTGATACCCATCACCGATTTAGTGATTAATGATTTTGAGAGGGGGGGGGGGGGGGGGGGGGGGGGCACCGGAAGGGAAGGGGAAGTAAAGCTGTGTGGATGATTTGATGTGTCAATTGTAAATCTCTTCCCCATAGGCTCTTGTGTGGGAGAGAGTGACATTCCTTGATTTGAGTAGGAATTTAAGGCCAATCACGGATTTGTTGGCCCTTTCTCCGTTATCTACAAAGTCATATAACGTCACAAATATGGGTGATTAGACCCCCTACCACGATTGGTCCCGTGACATTTTTGACATTGGTTACATGGTCCCATAGGACTGTGTTAACGTCGTATTTATCGGCACCTGGAAAAACAGCTTGGGCTAAGAGCCATCCCAGATTCTAGTGTGATGATCATTCGATCTTCCCAAAAAACAATTGGCTAGAAATTTTAGGAAAATGCGTAAGACCGGAAGTTGACATGGTTCAAACTTACTTTTGAAGTATCGACGTTGAGATGTCCGATCATTCTTCTCCACAGTTCATAACCTACTGAGGATTCATAAGTTATTTGTTCTTCAAACAAAGGTAGGCCAAAATGCTCCCCAAATTCCTGTTTAGTCAATGAGTGTTCTTCATTGAACAATCGAAAATGGATTTTATTCTTGGTATGGTCAGTATACCAAGTTTTCACTTTTTCATGTTTCGCTTGCACTTTTTGTTGTTTGCGTTGCACTTTTTGGCCATTTTGATTTTGGTCAAATTCGGCCAAAATGACGGTGGCAGTTTTGTAAATAAACCAATTTTTTTGAGCTATCGCGAAAAACTGCAACGAAAGCAAGAAAAAGTGCAAGCGAAACATTAAAAAGTGTAAACTTTTCACTTTGCACGTTAAGACCTCTTTTTATTTGAACCATCCCCTATATACATATATATAGGTTTTAGTTCAAATAAGAACATGATCTTATGAGAAAAATAAGAATGAATCTGAACCTTTAGATTTGCTTTATGTGAAATTCAATGTGCATTAGATGAAGCTGTAATGTGTATTAGGTGAAATTGAAATGTGCAGCACAAATGGTACAATGTAATGGCATTATGTGAAGCTAAACTGTGCATTAGGTGAATTTGAAATGTGCACTAGATGAAACTAAAATGTGCAGAATAAAATGTACGATGTGATGTTATTTGTGTACCTTTTATTATGCACATTTCAGTTTCACTTAATGCACATGTGAGTTTAAATTTTAATTCTGCACATTTCAATATCATCTAATGCACATTTCGGTTTCACCAAATGCACAATTCAGTTCCACATAATTAAATCAAACGGTTCAGATTCGTTCTCATTTCTCTCCTAAGATCCGTTCTTACCGGAACCGCTCCCTATATATATAGGCTAAAAATACAAACTTTTAACCAATAAATCATAACTTATAGACCCCCTCAAAATTAATTACGAAAATGCCACCACGTCAAAATAACTCTAGAAACCTGGATTTTTTTTAACGCGGTGGTATTTCCATAATTACGATGTAGAGCTTTATAAGTTATGATTTATTGGTTATAAGTTCCTATATTCAGTCTATAAGTTTGCTGCGTTATAAGATTAGATGCAAATCCAAGAGCTGAGATTACTTCTCACTTCTCATCTTAAGGAGTACTTCTCACCTGATCTTTTCCCTATATATATATATACATATATATATATGAACATTAAAAATAAAAGAACAAACTCACATCAAAATCACCATTATTTGAAAATAAATATACAGAAAAATTAAGAGAAAAGGAGAACAAAGCCATCTCTCTATATTTTAGTGATTTTGCAACCAAACCCTTGAATTGGAAGTCTTTACAAATGCATCATTCAATCCATTGAAATGAAATTGCAGGGTACTTTTTTATATGTTAGTTTCCCGATCACTTTCTCGTAAGGTGTTACCTGTACCGGTAGATAAAAAAAGTTAATTGCTTTATTTGAATGTATTGAATAATATATTTTTAATTGGGAGAACTATCAGATAAGCTCTCATAATATACCTAAAAAACAATTAAGCCATCCTACTAAAAGGACACTTAGTTGAGTCTATGAACTACCCCCTTCGTCCCGAAAAGGTTGGTCAAAGTTGACTTTCACGTGAATTAATAAAGTAAAAATTGTGTGGTTGAAATTTGTACAGAGGAGAGAGAGTAAATTTTAGCCACATATTCCTTACTTTAAATGGAAATGACAAATCTTTTTAAGACATCTAAAAAAGGAAATTTGGTCAACCTTTTCGGGACGGAGGGAGTAATAAAAAACATTCAATTTGTCATTTTAGCAGGTTACTTGCAAGTTCTCCGGTAACCATTTCAAAATAATGAATGCCACATCATCTCAAAATAAAATTCTTAAGAAGATTAGAATGAATAAAACAAAATGCAAAAAAGTAAACAACAGGAAGATTACTTCCCGTATAACCAAAGCCGGCATCCCGGCGGCCTCCTTTAATTTACCACCTTGCCGGCAAGGCGGCAACCTCCTTCCCCTGATTCCTATAATCAGTCGACTTCTCTTATATATTTACTCCCTCCGTCTCATAAAATTCTTCCACTTTCCTCTTTGAATCGTCCCAAAAAATTCTTCCCACATACCATTTTTGGGCATTTCATATGGTTCACATTCATTTCATTTTTTTCTTACATAAGTACAACCACACATTTCCACTTTATTACACTTTCTTAATCTCCGTGTCAAGTCAAAGTGTGAAGAATTCTATGGGACGGAGGGAGTATTAACGTAATAATAGTGTATAATTCTACCATACTTCCTCCATCCCAATTTGATTTGCAAAATTTCCTTTTTTGGTTATCCCAAAATGGTTTTTTCACTTTCTATTTTAGGTATGTAAATAAGAATAAAGTGACAAATTTACCTCTACTTTTACTTTTTCCTCATTAACTTAAAGGAATCTACTTTTAGAAAGATCGGCAAAAGTGTAAAAAACAAGCATAATTTATTGTCATTTCTTAATCCTTGTGCCGATCAAAGTTTGGAATTCAATTCGGGACGGAGGGAGTATTATTTACTACCTCCGTCCCAAAATGATGGTCCTGTATTTCCTTTTTGGGATGTCCCAAAATGATGGTCCTGTTTCCCTTTTTGGAAATAAATATGTGGTCCATATCATTTCACTTTATTATACTCAAATCTCAACCACAACTTTTACCTTTTCAACCACTTTATTAAAACGTGTGCCCAAAAGAAATGAGACCATCAAATTGGGATGGAGGGAGTATTAGTTTTCATTTTATTTTTAGCAAAAATGTTCATTCCCTCTCTTCCAAGTTCTAACCGTATAACGTCCCAATTGAATGAACCATTTGAAGCCATGGACGGTCCTAGAAATTCAAGAAACAGAGAAAGAATCGTGAGGGAAATTGGGTTAACTCTGAGGCCGAGCTTGAGACTGATTTCTGGTGATGAGGGGACCAGAATTGATATCCTCCAGAGGTACGCAATGCAACTTCGTTGAGCCAATCCTTCTGGTAGGAAGAGGAAAAGGTTTAGGGGATGTTCCCCTATGTTGCTATTCCATTGTTTTCTAAGGCGAAGTAGATAGATCTGAGCCTGATATATAGCTCCGCCGTCAATATGTGGTTAGAAACCTCAACCCGGCGTCACTGCCTAGATTCCGCCATCTCCTCTAACCTTGGCCCCCAAAAGTGACCATGCTGCCTCCGACAGTCCCCACAGGGAGAACTATCCAATAAGTCATGAACTTTCATAAAAAGTGCAAATAAGTCCTTTTGTAGGAGGATTCTGTCCGACCGTCGCCACTTTGGAAGGTTTCCGGTGTAATTTTTTGATGATTTTTTTAGCATTTTCTTCATTAAGTCTAGTTTACTCATACCAAATTTCAGCTAAAAATTCAACCGGGAAAGCATTCGAATTAATTTTTGAAGATAACTGCGCAGTTAGACAGCGCAGTATATTTCAGAAAATCATTTGACTGTCTTCTCGATTTAATTTTTAGCTGAAATTCGCTATGAGTAAACTAGACTTAATGAAGAAGATGCTCAAAAAAGTTCAACAAAAAATTCCACCGGAAACCTCCCCAAATGGAGATATCCGGACAAAGCCTCCTCTAAAAGGGTTTATTTACACTTTTTATGAAAGTTCGAGGGCTTATTTGATAGTTCTGTTAGTATATATGTCCTAGCGACAATCACTTTTTTGAGATATATGTACTTGATCACATTCAGTTTTATATATTTGATATATACGATATTACACATTGATGATTAAGTATTTCGACTGTCAATATCTTATTCATAATTGTGTTCCCTTGGACTTATGTTGTCAGTAAGTGGGAGCTTATATGATGTAACATATGTCCCAAAATAGCCCTAATCAATGATCATCAAGAATGGGATATTGATGATATGCGATATGATTGGTATGTAGACTGCATCATACTTTTAGAAAGTATAGTTGATCTCACAACTATGAGTTCCTGTAATTCATGATGGTCATATATATATATTTTAGAGAATATTGGCATACCCACCGAAAAGCCATTTGATAAGTTCTATTCATGTGTCTATGGGATTATCGGTGTATATAGTAGTGTAATAGTCCTCCAACTTGAGGTCAATACGTACTACATGTGCGTAGTGATGTACTTTGACCATGACCAACGCTTGCACTCCAATCAGGGTAGATACGGTCATATGGCATGTGTTGGGTGCATCACGAAGCACATGGAGTAGTAGTTGAGCCAAGAAAGGATTCATTCCTCGTAATAGATTAAGAGAGAACATTCTATTTCTCATATCTAGATGGATCATAAAGTCATTTACCAATACAAAGATATATTCGTTTTGGATATCGAATATGATCGTTATAGATCATCTAGAAAGATTGAGAGACAGAAACTAAAGGCCTGTTTACTAACAGAAATATTTTCTGTTTTTCCAAAATTTTGGA